TTCCTTCCTCCTAGCCTTCCCCCTATATCCTAGCATCCCTTCTAGCCTCCCTCCTATCCTCCCTCCTCCCTTCTAGCATCCATCTTAGCCTCCCTCCTATCCTCCCTCCTCCCTTCTAGTAACCCTCCTAGCCTCCTAGCATCCTTCCTACCTTCTAGCTCCCTTCCTACTTCTTAGCCTCCCTCCTAGCATTACTACTATAGCTGTCTCCCAAGTCTAAAATCTTTGGTTCACCCTTTATCACCTATCTCCATCTTCTACCACCAACGTGGACCCAAATGTTATCTTAAAATAAAGAGAAACGTGACTTCAGCACGCAGTGGATCTAAGAGTCCTCTTTGGCATCTGTGTCTTTGCTTTTACAAGTGAATCCAATATAAAAATGAACATGCATACCTGTGTATGTTTGTTTGCATGTATGTTTGTGTATGTGTTTGGTGTCTAAGAGGGAGGAAATTGTTGCCTTGGTTGTGTTTTTTTTTTTTCTTTTTTTCTTTTTTTTTTTTTCTGTGTCTAAAACCTGTATAAGCCACACTCAAGGCCCAGTTCACAACCCTATTATGGAACAAACAAACAAAACCTCTTTTAGGAAACTTCAAAAGGGTTTTGTTCCTTCTTCTGGACACCCACATAGAGGATGAAACACCTTAGTCCTCAGCCCCTTGGGCTTGTCATTGCCAATCATCTCTGTATCGCTCACTTCAGCTGCCTGGTTCCTGCAGTTGCTCTACTTTGGGGGAGGGGAGCAAGTGCTAGGGGTTGAGTCTGGGGCCTTGCACATAATTTACATCCCCAAATGTTGCCCTTTTAAGATCCCTCAAACTTGTTCTTTCCAATAACCAACCGCTCTTCCATCGAGCTTGGACCATCAATTTCTGACCTTACCAGGACTCTCACACCAAGGAACCCCTTCCCATTTCCCTTACCCATTTATCTCTCTCTATCTTACCTCTTTGTACCCCTTTGATTCAGTGGGTCACCATTTGAACACTCTTCTTAACTATCCTTAGCTCCTTGGCACTTTTTTCTTTTGCGGCATCTCCCTAGGAAATACCAGCCCAGATTGGAGTTACCCTGCCCCCGTGAATTTTCCATATCTGACCCCGAACTGAAGACTGCAACATAGCAGCAAATCTGAACCTTGCCAGTTACCATTATGAATCTTGAAGGACCTAAGTGCTTCTAGTACTGGGACAGACAGAAGTGCATTTCTGAGGAAGGACCTCTGAGAGTTCTGAAACATGATGATCACATGTGAATACTGATGTAAATGAATGAGGCCAGAAAAGTGACCAGTGCAGATGAGAACCAGATGACAGCAAGTATAAAGGACTTCAACAAGGTGTGGCTAACTGCCATTGCCTTTTGAGTAAAGCCTTTCATGTCAGGCTACTGTATGTGAGACCATCCAGTGGAAGGACAGTGCCAGGGCCTGCTGCTTGCCCACTCCATCCCTTCAGTGGTTTTCTTGTGCGAAGCCCAGCCTAGCTCATCAGCTTTGGCAGGGGTGTGGAAATAGCAGTTCTGGCTACCAAAGGTCAGTCAGCATAGCTAACATGACAAAGAATGAGGAAGGTCAGGAACCTTGACACTTCAGAGAGGACAAAGTTGAAGTGAGGTAACAAGAAGAGTAGCAAAGCTAGGGAGATGCAGTTGAAGAGGGAGGCCAAAAGTTTTTTAAGGGTCACACAAGTAGGTCATTTCAAAGCCCCAAGGGTAGGCATGGAAGGGGGAAGGAAAGGGAAGTACAGATGAAAGCTGTCACTTTAGTATTAGACCTAATGGTCTCCTGGTCTCCCTCATCCCATGATGAGTTCTTCAAAGTTACCCATCTTTTCAGTTGTCTGTGTACCCATAATACAGTAACTGGCATACAGCAGGCATACTATTATGGAGTGTGAGGGTACTACAGCTAGCTGTGGGGAGACTGGTTAGCTGAAGCACACACTGTTTGTCTCAGTGGGTGTAGAGTCTTGCAGAAGGGTGAAGCAGTCTTTGACTAAATGATCAGACAAACGCATAAAAAATGATAAGTGGTGAAATGTGCTCCAAAATTTACAGGGTCAGATTATGTCCCGAGACCCTGGCTCTGCCTGGAAGAGAGAAGCGGTAGATCTCTGGGAAGTGAGCCTTGAGGAAGATCTGGAAGATGAGTAGGAGTTCCCTGGGGGAGGACTTTAAGGAGGAGTAAGCTAGAGAGTGGGAACAGCATGGAAGAGAGCACGGTGGCCGGAGTGCAGAGGTCAAGGGGAAGGCTTTGCTTCTCTGGTCCTTCCTAGAGAGGAGGCTGCGACTGATGCGTAGGTACCATTCCCCACCTGCCTGGCTGAGCCCTGACTCGGCTCAGATGACAGAAAGAACCATGGTAGGTCTAAGCCAAGGAAACTTCGTTTCCTTTTGGTTCAGAGAATGACCTCAAGGTGACATGACCAGTCGAATCAGACGTAACAGGAAATCTTCCCCAGGCCTTGTAGAAAACTGTTTCTCCCTGATGTGGAAAGGACTCTCCCATCCCTTCTCTGGGGCTTGGATGCTGTCTTGTGAAGCCTTGATCCATATGGCAGACAACCATGACCAAAACAATAGAGCCACAGAGCCAGTGTTAGAATATCACCAAGTGATCAGACTGACTCTGGGCCTGCATGATGTCTGACAAATACACTACAGGCCACTGTGGTTATTTTAAATGTGCAGTCATTATTTTAAATGAAACAATCCTACCCATAACGCCCATCTGTTCAGCCACCAGACTCACAGAGTCAAGAAAGTTCTTCATATTACCAGTTCTTTCAGTTCTTTGTCTTCACAAAGTTAGGGTGACTTAGACAGCACCAAATGGGACAGACAGGAGATGAATTTTTACACTGGTTTTATTTTTACACTATTTGTAGGACACCCTCATCATTACTGTTCTCTGCGTAAAGCTTTTCCTTACCTTACCTCTTTTAATTATTTGTTTCAGAAAAGAGACACAGTAAAGACGGCCTGCAGTGTGGCTGATGTCACTGCTTGTTTATTGGTGGCATCAACAGCGATGTCCTATCCACACGGACAATGAGCATACCACGTGTGGCTGGCCACCCTGCACACTGCAAGCCCTTGGCTTTGAACCAAGGGGAAAATCATGCTGCGGCCTGACTGGGTCCTTGGAGTGCTTTGAACAAGAACAGAAATGAGATCATGGGGACCATGACCTGGCAACCTCTCTGGTTACCCTTGCCAGTCAGCAGTAGAGCAGACCGAGAGCCCAGAGTAACCACCCTCAACGTACATCCCGCAGATTGTAGGCCCAAAGGAGCACATGCTGGCCAGGTCATATGAGCTGACCTTCTTTTCTGTCCCTCACTGTATGGCCTTTAGCAAATTATTTCATCTCTAAATTACAGCTTCCTTTTTTTGAGATTAAGAGGTATTAGTCCTATCCTACAAAGGTATTGGAATTAAAAGATATTCTAGGCAAATTAAAAATCCCCAATAAACACAAGGCATTGTCATGCAGTACACAGTGCTGAGCTCTGTTTTGGTGAAGGAAGGACAGGAAATTAAAGAGAATTTTATGACAGACAGTCTGTCATGAAATTAGCAAGTTAGTTGTCTGAACTTTCAAAGAAGCTGCTGACTTGTGAAGGTGTTTGACTGACAGCCTTGCCCATGTTGTTGTCCATGATTAATAAGGAAACCCTCACTCTGCCTCACAGCATGTTTCCGGATGGCTCACAGGGTTGGTGATGCCAGGAGCAGACCTCATTTCCATTTTCCAGTGCTTTCTTAGGCACCTGTGGGATCAGGAAATACATTTCAAGACATGGTTTCTCCTAAAACAGGCAGAGCATGTTCTGTGCCTCAGGGGAACAAATTGATCACTTCTGCATGCCTGGCCTAGAAGAGCTGCCAGATAAGGAACCAACAAGACCCACCCCCTCCGGAGGTGCAAAAGAGGAAGAACCCCGCTGAAGGCAGTACTGTGCTGGCTGCTTTTTATATGAAGTAAGAATTACCCATCCAAAGCTGGACATGGTGGCACACTCCTCTAATCCCAGGCTTCGGTAGGCGGTAGGCTGAGACCAGGGACCACTGGTAGTCAAGACTACCTAGTGAGATCTAGGCTAGCCTCAGAAACAAGGAGAACTTGTTTGAAAGGAGAATGAGAAAGAACTATCCATCCTAATTTGCCAATGAAGAACAAAATGTAAAGTCTGAAAGATTACAATGCCAATACGTGGCAGGAGCTGCCAGGAGCTGAAGCTACCTCAGGGAAGGTGACAAAGATTAAAAACTATATACTTCCATTTCTAAAGGTGATGCAACAAGATAAAATTCATGAGCACACTGCCCTCTCTTCTAACTATCTGTGCTGTGAATTAAAGTGCACACAAGCCCCTTAGCTGGCCAGCACCAGTGCGCTGATGATCAAATGGTAACTGTTTGTGTAAGCTTCTTGTTTAGAAGAGGCCACGTGCTAGATAGCATGCTCAGCCCCTCCCCCATGCCAGCGAAACTGCTCATCACGCATTGAGCCAATCTTCCAGGAAACTACTTGAAGGAACCGGTGTGTTAGAGAAGCCAGGCTTTTGTTTCCTCATTGGGTACAAAGCAATTCTTCCTAGGGAAGATATATTGGTCAGATACGGCTAGGCGGAAAGCAGAGAATTGTTTCAGTGGTAGTCACTGCAGAAGGTCAAGGCTAGGTTGGCATTGTCCTCAATAAGAGTCATTGTTACTATGGTCCAAAGTCTTGCAGGAATTTTCAAAATTTGTTTGCTTTTTTCTTTTTTCTTTTTTTCTAACTAGCTACCTGGAACATCAGGTGCAATTCTGAGCCAAGCCACAAGAAGAATGAAAGGCCAGGACTTCCCCTGGGCACCAGCTTCCATTTGTATTTGGGACAAAAGTAAAATCTTCCCAAGGCTTGTTGAGAACTTCCTGCTGGTTCACCTTTCAGAGGCTGTACTTAACCCTCACCCTCACAGCAGAGCTCAGAGTAAGCGGGAGGAGCTCCAGAGCCCGGGGACGTACAGGGAGCTGCCCGGCGACCTGGTGAGTGCTGCTGCACTGTGATAGGTTTGCAGTCTCAAGGGTAGGGTGATCTCGGAGGTTTTTGGGTTTTTTGTTGTTGTTGTTGTTGTTTCACAATTGAGCAACCATGAATTGGAAAACTGGAAATTTTCCAATTGAGCAGACTTGATATTTTAGTTATTTTCTTTAGAATTTTCTCAGGCTATAGAACCAGAGGGAAATGGAACCTCTTGGCACCAGACTTATAAAATCCCAACTGACATGACAGTAAACAGGTCAGGGAACAAATTGAGGCATGGGTGCGGGCTCCTGAATAGCTAAGCATGAGTGTGGGGCTCATCTGTTTATTCGGGGCCAGTGACAAGAAGTTCAAGGGAAAAAATGAAAATATTGCATTCTCCATTCTTTATTATTTTTGAGATAGGGTCTCACTACGTAGCCCTGGATGGCCTAGAACTCACAGATACCCTCCTGCCTCTACCCACCAAATGCTGGGGTTAAAGTCGTGTGCCCCTATGCCAGCCACATTCTCTTTTGTACAGTAGGCACAAGCACACAATCCTAAAGACTGACTTTCAAGTTAGAATTTTGGCTTGTTTTCTGAATTCTTAGTTCTACAAAGACAAGTTGCTTGATCCTTCTAGTAATTGTTTCTCTGTGGCTGGATAGTACAGCATCCTAAAATAACTGAAGCTATAGAGTGCCGTGGAGAGGACCTGGATACACACTGTTTAAAGGTATCCCGGATGCACTGTGTGCTCCATTATTGCTAGCTGTTATTGACAACCATACGACCATAGAATATATGAGGCAGAGAGGACCTGGTAACTAGCATTCTTGGTAACGAGCACCTATTATATGCGGAGCTAAGATCAGATTAGTTCCACCGAAGCTCACAGCACTCCTGAGAGTGGAGGCATGGGGGGGGGGGATGCTGTGCTGCTGTACTGGATGCAAGAGCCCGTCTTTTCTTGTTGATGGGGAAGAAATTTAAAGCCAGACTCTACACTAAGCCATCACCTCTCCAGCCTTATCTGCTGTGCCTGGCTATGGTGGATGAGGAGAAGACAGAGGGCAGTTCCCAGAGGCAACAGGAGCCCTCCATGGGCGTCATAAAGCTAGGGCTGCCCCCAAAGCACACTTTACCATGCACAGTGCTCAAGGAGAGCGGGTGTCATTGGGAGTATCTGTGAGCAGCAGTGAGGAGCCCCGCGAGTTCTGCTTGGGGGAACCAGATACACATCACTCTCTCTCTCTCGAGGGACATGAGCTCCTTCAAAGCAGGCTAGTTCTGAGACTCAAAGTCATCAAGTGTGCAATTGCATAAAAACTCCCGTGCTTGGTGTCTGGGCGCCTACACTCGCCCTGGCACCACTCAGAGCTCAGTGCTGGGAAGGATTCTGCACAAATGGAAAAGCAGCATGATGTTCTCAGACTGGTCTTATGGGAAGATTTTTATCTCTCCTCTTTACAAACTACAAGAGCTTTGAAAACAATTAAGTATTTTATCAGGAAAAATAAAACATTTTTAAAATTATTTATTTATTTATTTATTTATTTATTTATTTACAAAGAACAGCCTCCAAACACTTTTGCAGTGAACACCTTGTTTTAAGATTATGTCCCCCCAGCTGGCCCCCACCGCACAGCCTCGGACCTGAGTTCTGCACTGCTCCTCACCGGGCTAAGTGCTGCCTGCATGGGTGGCCCAGGCCTCACGTGTGCAGAGGCCGGAGGGCAGGGGTTGCTGAAAAACACTTCTTCACAATTACTTCTCCAGGCCGTGGCCTTCTCACCCTTCTCATGCTGAGAGAAGCCCAGGGAATTTTTTAAATAGGATTTCAAATTAGCCTGGGCTAGCCTCAAACTCCCTGTGTAGCCCAGGCTGACCTTGAGCATGTGATCTTCCTGCCTCTGCTTCCTGAGTGCTGGTATCACAGATGTAGCCAGAAATTAATGCTTTTGACACAAAAGTCTCAAGTGTAATTTGAAAGTGCACAGTAAATTTTTTAAATTATTTGTATATTTGGAATGAAGGGCAAAGTATTAAGCAGGTTATATTGTGATTTCTTATACACAGTTGTTCTTCAAGGGAACAAAGGCCTCTGGCCTCCCTAGCCTGGCATTCCATCTAACAGAATGTGTCCAACACACCAGGTGAGGGCCAAGGGTGTCAGCCCTTCAGTGTATGCCCTAACATGCTTCCCAGAAAGGCTATGACTCACTCAGATAATCACCTCTGCTATTGCTCAAGACACCCCAAGAAAGAAAACACTCCCCCTAGAAGTTTGAAATTGTAGAAGTGAGATTGAAGGGTCCAGAGAAACTTACACTGGTCATCAAATAGCTCTGACATGAATCTCACAAACCAGCAAGGGAGAGGAGTAGGGGGCTGATGCTAATTAAAGGCAAAAGTCAGGAGGGGAGCAGTCACACCAGACACAGGGCAGGAGGGGAGCAGTC